TCATCCTGTTAGTTTTCTATTGCTATCTATCCTATGGTAAAGTCATTTTGGTGATAGCTAATGTTTTTTGAATCAGAAGTTATGTCAAGCTGCTTTATACAGTTCTCGTGCTGTCAAAAGTTAAAACAAGCAAGATTTGCATTCCCACACAAATTTGCAGTGAATGTATTTTCTGAGCTTTCTGATACAATTCCAAAAGTAGTTTTTGGACCTCTGTGTAAGCACTGCAAAGGAAATTTACATATTTCAAAATCCAGTTAAGTGTAATTGAACAGCTTCCACCTAAACTTCAGTGAAATGATTAATTTGCAATGTAATGACATGACAAAGGCAAATATCAAGAGAAAAACCTTATATAGCTCAATAAATGTCTTCCAAGTGAAGAATATGCTCAAAGCTATATATTCACAGATTAATATCAGCATTGGGCAGCACTTATCTACATGAAAAGACATTTTATTTTTTTATTTTTATTTTAAAGATTTTATTTATTTATTTGACAGAGAGAGACACAGTGAGAGAGGGAACACAAGCAGGGGGAGTGAGAGCAGGAAAGCAGGCTTCCCGCAGAGCAGGGAGCCTGATGCGGGGCTCGATCCCAGGACTCTGGGATCATGACCTGAGCTGAAGGCAGACGCTTAATGACTGAGCCACATAGGCGCCCCGAAAAGACATTTTAAAATATTAAATTCATAAAATACCATTGTAGATCACCATTACAGAAAGTTTGCAATTGATTTTGATGATGGAGAACACTAATTTTGAACCAATTAAGTTATTCTCCCAAAATTCTTCTCATTAGATTTGTATTACAAAATGTTATATCCAATTACTATCACTACTATATTTTCGTGGAAATTTTTCCTTTTTTTTTATAGAAGCCTACATAATATCCTCACTTGTACCTTAAAATCCTAAAATATTTGCTATTTGACCCTTTTTAGAAAACATTTATTGACCTCTGAACTAGAGCCTTCAAATATGTTCATTGTAGCATGTATGTATGTATGTATGTACATATACTAGGTAAAGAACTTTATTAAAGATTTTATTTATTTGACAGAGAGAGACACAGCGAGAGAGGGAACACAAGCAGGGGGAGTAGGAGAGGGAGAAGCAGGCTTCCCGCTGAGCGGGGAGCCCGATGCGGGGCTCGATCCCAGGACCCTGGGATCATGACCTGAGCCGAAGGCAGGCGCTTAATGACTGAGCCATCCAGGCGCCCCGGTAAAGAACTTTATTAACCTTGTTTCAAACTTTATTCCCAGGCCTCTTCAGCTTAATTAGCTGCAGAGAATGAATTGTGTATAAGCAAAAACTGAAAAGACCTGCAATGTCCAACAGGCTTGGGCTTAAAAATATTAGAGACCTAGATTTTTATCAGGTCCATGATCAAAATTTTAAAAAGCAGTCATAATTACAAAATAGCAGCTCCCAGTAACTTCTTCAAGGTTTTTCTTCTTTAGAAGTTGACTCAATTCAGTTTGCTTCATTCTTGGAAGCTTCACCAAAAGTCTCCACAAGATCTGGAACTTCATCATCATCATCTTCCCCAGTAGCACGTGGTGCTTTTCCATCCACAGATTGTGTGGGCAGAGCTTCAGCCAGTCTCCTTAAATGAGTCACACTGTCTGCATCAAGTTGGTTTAAGATCCTGGGTAGCATTTGTGTCAGCTGCTTTGTCTCAGCATGTCATGAACTGGTGAAAATATTTGCTGCCAGGGATGTCTATGCTTTAGGGTTGTTAAAATAGATCACTGTTCCTTGGTTTGCAACATATCCACTTCTTCAATACCAGAGATATTGTTTACCCCTAACTTCTTTAAGGAGAACTGAAGTTTTTTATCATCTGCTGGAGCTGTTCTATGAACCACTTTCTTTTGGTGAGCAGTTCCTTTCCCACCAATGCACACTTGTGCTTGCAGCTTGGTGAGTTTCTCCTGGTTCATGATAGTTTCTTTCATCTTGTTGGAGTGGAAATGGGGGGCAGGATAGGCACTCAGGGCATTTCGGACATACCAGCTGAGATTGAGATTAGGTGTACACATGCGGGTGGGGGGGCGGGCAAGATGGCAGCTAAAGCATGTTCATCCTAGTATTTAAAATTCCCTGTGTAATAGTTCTAAACCCCATGTCCTATCTGAATCTGGTTCTGTTGATTGGTTTGTCTCTTGACAGTGTGTTGTTAATTTCCTTTTCATTGTGTATCTCATCATTTTTGTTTGAAAGCTAGTCATTCTGTATAGGTGAATAGAGACTTCCGTAAACAATATGTTCGTGAGGCGCCTGGGTGGTTCAGTCAGTGAGGCGTCCAATTCTTGATTTCAGCTCAGGTCATGATCTTAGGGTCTTGGGATTGAGCCTTGCGTCGGGCTCCACGCTCAGTGCAGAGTCTGCTTAGGATTCTCTCTTTGCCTCCCCCCCCCCCCCCGCCTCCTCCGCCAGCTTGTACTCTCTCTCTCTCTCAAATAAATAAATAAAATCTTTAAAACAAACAATATGTTCAGAAATGGGCAAGTCTTCCCTTTAGTAGAGAGTATTGAGATAATCATGCCAAATTTTTTTGTTGTGTGGTTACCCTCCTTATGTACCAGGCTTTGAATTCTTCCATTATTTTTTTGCTTTGAGTGGTGGCTGACTTGTTGGATTTCTTTCTGTGTCTGTTCTACACTCAGCTGTCAGTCTTCTCTGTGCTTATGTGTCAAAGAGGATGCCTTTCCATGCTTTTACTCCTCCCCCCAGCAGTACACTGCTGTTACTTGTTCCTGGACACTTGCTAGCCTGGTAGTGGAGGGAGGAGGTGGGGGCATTCTTTGTTTTTCTGGCTCAGCCTCACTGTTAGGCGGGTCCTATATTCTTGGCTCTCAGAGATGAGGTCTTCTCAGTGATCTTGATTCTCCCCCAGCATAGGAAATCTCCAAAGATCTGGCTCCTCCTTTAGGGGTAGACGTTATTTTATGTTCTCTTTACCCAGCTATAGTAGGCTTTAACTTGTGCCCTGAAAATGACAGGTTTGTGCCCTTCACCCAGTCACATAAGGTGACAGTGGTGGTGGTGGCAGTGGCTGCTGCTGGCCTGGGTCTTCTATTGGCTGCCTGGTGGGATGGGGGACAGAGTTGAAGGATTCAGGTCACACATCATGCCTTTCCCACAGCAGCTCCGGCTCCCCTCCCTAATGCTTGTACTGTAAGCAAGGCTTTCTCTGGTCTCTTGCCCTGCTGCAAATCTTTCTCATGAACACCTGATGGGAGTTTGTAGGGAAGGCCCTATGAGTGGGTGCAAGCTCACCTTGTGTCTGCAGGCTCCTAGAAGTTCTAAAGTCTTACACTAGCCCATGCTTCGCATTTGACAGTTCATTAAAAGATAACACAAAAGGCTGCCACCATAGATGTTATTGTGGAAATGAAGAATACAAAGATTGTGAAAAGGGCTGGTTATTTCTTACTGCACTGATGATTTTAAAGAAAGAAAATGGCAATCTGGAGATTTAACTTCTTGGATTAAAGCCTTCTCTGATTTCCCTAAAATAAATTCATATACTGTAGAACTGCAGGGTTTGATGCATTTGAAATGAAAATAAGATGTAGTATCCGATCTTTTGGGTTGCTGAGTTTCAACATAAATTGAAGTAACAGCTTTATCAGAACTTTTAAAGAAAAGTTAAGGAATTGGCCGGGAAAGAGACCCTGAAAATTCAAAGGGGGGTACATTTGGATAGATTTAGGACACCCTCATCCTCAGCCAGATTGAACCTATCTTGCCAATAGAAATAGTGCCTCCTCCCATTTGATAAAGCTGGTCTGCTTTACCTTAGAGACACTGTGCTGACTTCATCTGAGGACATTAAAAGTGCATGCCAATTCTTTACCTGTATCACCCCTGCCAGGTCTTCACTGCCTCTAGACCTAGTAACTGGAGTAAGATCCCATCATGCTCTTGGATAGGTACAAAGTATAACCAGGAGGAGAAGCCTTCCTTACAAAAAGAACTGCAAGAGTTTTCTCGTCTACATTGGAACAAGCCAGAGGTGTAAGATAGGATTGGATTCTAAGGACTCTTGCTTGACTGGGGAGGCCTGAACCCACATTTATCAGGAGTACACTTACCAGAAATTCTGAATTCAGTTTCCTGGTTCAGACAGGTGGGCACGATTCTACATGCTGCAGCCTCTTCATGCTGGTTGTTTTAAGCCTGAACTCAATGGTGGACCTCACTAAAGGAAGTTGATATGCCGGAAATTCCTTGGTTTAATATAGAGAACGGAATGCAAAGAGAGAGTGGAGAATATTGGAAGGGATTCATGATGTATGATCTACTCCCTCCCTTCTCCAACCTCCAAGAAGGCCTGAGAGAATAACCCCTTCACCAGGATGTTGAGACATAAATTGCGAGGGGGAGCATCCCCATTCCTGAAAAACACTGTGACTGGCTGTCCCGTTTTGGCCAGGGAAAAGTGGGAAGTACTGCAATTCAGAAACTGTGATTGTTGTTTTCTCCCTGACTTCAACGGGGAGGCTGAAGCCCAGAGAGGCAGAGGCCTAGCAGAAGCCTTTAGGCCACAAAGACAAAGGACACGGCCACCAGGACGGATGCCAGGGCCCAAGCGCTAAGAAGAATGGACTGACTTGCGGGCATCTTTGGTGATACCTAATTTTTTAAGGCGCCACGATCACTGAAATAGAACCGCAGCCTACTCCTTTGTCTAAACTGCTTAATCTGTATGGTCCTCCACCCCATAATCCGGGTCTGGTGGATGAAGTCCTGAGCTGAGGAACCATTATGGAGAACTAAGGCTCCTCGGGTAATGCCCCGGCCGCCTGTCCTCAACAGCTCCAGCCCAGGGACCGCACCAGAAGGGGCAGGGGCATCAGGCGGTGTCCCCGGAACCGGGGGGTCCCTGTCAAGGGCAGTTCCCTCGGAAGCACGCTGGCCCCTGCGGCCTGGGCGGGGTTCGGCGGGACTCAGAGCGGAGAGAGGCCCCGGGGGAACCTGAGGGCGCGATGTTCCGCGCTCAGGCCCGCCGCGCTAGGAGCCACCGTTTCCGCCACGCGCGCCCCTGCGCGGACCGGTCCACCTGCCACCGTGAGAGGCGCGGCGCGGGCGGGCCCATGGCGTCCGCACCCCGCGGCTCCCTGGGCCTCCTGCTCTGGCTCCTGCTCCTCCAGCCCCCGCTGCATGCGGCGCAGGGCGGGTCCGCGAGGCCCCCATCCTCCCCGTCGTCGTCGTCGGGGGGCGGCCGTGAGGGCCCCGGCGCGAGCCTGGGGAGGGTTGAGGGACCGTCTGCGACCCCCGGGCCCCAAGAGGCTGCCGTACTCTCCCAGTTGGTGGAACTGATCCCAGGTGACGCCTGGTGTTGGGAGCCTCGCAGGGGGCTGAGGCCCGCGAGTGGGAGCCCGTGCTCCCGGGGAGTCTGGGGGAGTCAGGGGTCTCCCCCTCCCCCGCCCCGAGGGTCTGAGGAATGCAGCCCCACTTGTGGAGTCTGAGCGGGACGCCATGTGGCCTTGGAGGTCTGCGGGTACAGGGCCTGGGGACTCGGCAGCACTGCCCTGGAGTCTTAGAGGCCGAGGCCTTTCCCCCCCGACCCCCGTCCGAGGGGCACCTGGTGCTCCCCTGGGAAGCCCGGACTCTTGTTTCTTTGAGGTTCTTCCTCCCACGCTGTTCTCACCCCAGGGTGTGGCCAAGTAGTCGCGAAAATCTTGGGAGGAAAGGAGGCCGAAGAGGGGAAGTGGCCTTGGCAGGTGAGCGTGAGGATCAGTGAGAAACACGTGTGCGGAGGCTCCCTCATCACGCAGCAGTGGGTGCTGACTGCAGGCCACTGTATTTTAAGGTGAGGAGTGACAAGTAGAGACAGAGTTCTGAAGCCGGCCCTGCTCTCCTCAAATACCCATTAGGTTCTGTTGCCCTCGCAGCTTGACAAAACCCAAACCCAGCCCAACACAGGCGAGGTGCGCACCGTCGAGAAACGGGCCAGGTTGGGCACTGGCCATCTCATTACTAGGAATACTAATTTGGTGAACAAAACGGATCGTCTGGATGAGCATACCAATGTCGAGAGGCGTTAAGGAGGGCTGCTTGGTGATAGGGCGGTAGAAAGAGTGGTGAGGGACGTTGGGGCCAGGCTGGGAAGCATCTGCAATGTGTGGAAGAGGTCTCTATGAGGGGCATGTCCTCTCTCCCACAGCCGATTCCACTACAGTGTCAAGATGGGAGATCGGAGTGTCTATAAAGAAATCACCAGTGTTGTGATCCCCGTCCGAAACATCATCATCCACCCTCAGCTCTCAGTAGTTGGAACCGTTCAAAAGGACCTTGCCCTTCTCCAGCTCCTCTACCCTGTAAACTTCACCGTGACCATCCAGCCTGTATGCATCCCTCAGAAGACTTTCCGGGTGGAGGCTGGGACCACATGCTGGGTGACCGGATGGGGCAGAAAAGAAGAATATGGTGAGACTGTGAGTCGGGTAGCATACCCAGGAAGAGGGAGGCAGCCCAACCCTGAAGTAGGCGAAAAGGCTATAGAGAGGGACAGGGAGGCGGACTGCCTGGCAGAGGGGGAAGGAGGGGGTGCAGTTTAGCAGCAGCCAGAGTAATGGCTCCTGATTGGCTTGAGCCTAGAAATTCGTAGAGGTCTTTTGTTGCAGCACAAATATTTCATGGTAGCTGTTTAAGGAAAGGCACGGGTCCTGGGGACTGGAACTGCTTCAGGAGAAGAGACACCTGGGTGAAGTCTCTTTCTGTAAATTTGTGAGGGACCATGCCTGTCTGGTGTGGGGGTATTTTTAGGTTCCCTGGGGACGGAGCCAAAGGCTTTGGAGTTCTCTCCAGGGTGGATTTCTGCTCAGCAGGTGATGAGTTGTCTGCCCGTCAGAGCTGTCCGTCTCCGAAAGTACGGGCCTTGCTTGTCAGGGAGCTTCCTGTGCTTTTAGGTATAGGCAGAGCCAGGTCTCTGTTGCTGAGGCTGGAGGGCCTCCTATCTCTGGGAAGAGGCTGGGTTGGTAACCCTGGGGCACTACCACTTCGAGAGTCCGTGATCCTGCTCAAAAGTAAAGACACTTTACTGATGCACAGGATACCTGTCACTATTACTGTTGATACTCAGAGTAACAGATGCTTGATTATCATTTCTCAGGCTGGTGAGGCCTTGCCCTCTTCCCGTCCAGATTGGCTCTTCTTTATGCTATCTTGATCTTATTGGTTCTTACCTCCTTTTCTCCCCCTGTCTACTTTGGGCCTCCGTTTCCTCCAGTGTCAAATGGGGACAATACCCACTGCCCTGCTTTTTTCAAAGGGGATTCTAGGTGCTGAGGGGCTTACTGTCCACCTGGGCACAACCACCCACTGCTGAGTTTCTTCCCGTGTAGGCAGCGACCCCATTACAGCTGTTCTCCATGAGGTCGACCAAGACATCATGCACCATGAAATGTGTAATATGATGATTCAGAAAGCTATAAAAACAAAGAAGAGTGTAGTACTGGAAGGGATGCTCTGTGGCTATAAAGAAGCTGGGAAGGATTCTTGTCAGGTAACTTCATGGACCCTTTTCCACCTCCACATTGAGGATGTCCCTCCCAGGCTTCTTCATTCCCAAGTGCCAGGGCCTGCGTGGTCTGCCACATCTTCCTTTCCCTCCTGAGTGAAGGAGATTCATGGGGAGAACCCCCTGTGGCTCCCCGGAGCTGGCCTGGCTTGCTCCTTGCTGCCTGGGGGCCCTGCCAAGGTGTGGGGAAGTCGGGCGCGGGTAGTCCTAACACTCTACGTTCCTTGAATTGAGTTCCCCCTCTGTGGCACTTCCTGTGTGAGCCAGTGGGAGCATTTACCCCATGAGCTCTGTTAACCCCCGTCATAAGCCTGCCACATAGACATCATAGCTGTCACACAGACGAGGGGAGGTCCAAGGGTGCTAGCTCAGGGACCCCTGTGCGTGCCTGCAGGCCTCCTGGGCCCGCCGTCTTCCTCCCGCTCCGAGTGCCTTCTGGAGGAGGGGGCGTTGGAGCTGGGTCTCAGAGGATGAGTATTTGGATTTCTTGGAAAGAGGAGAACAGCGCTGTAGGGAGAGGGAGCAGCACGGGCAGCGGCTCCGAGGTCCTAGGGAGCTTGTCACGTGTAGGGCCTGCCTTCCAGGTCTGGAGCAATGAGGTGGCCAGAGAAGAGGGCTGCAGTCGGAATCCGTGTGGCCTGGAGCGCTGGGCCAAGTTTTTCGACGCCATCCGGGCAGGACTGTAGGCTAGGTGTTTGTCTCCATCATCTAGGCGATGATGCGGGGTCCCGAGCAGGAGCCGGGGCGGTGAGGGGGTGAAGGAGGTGTGTCTGAGGTTGAGTCATGAGTTCTAGGTGACTGCCTGCTGGGAGGGTGGGGGCGAGGGAGAGGTTAGGAGGGCTCTCTGTTTCTGTCTGAGCTGGCTGGTGGGGGCGGGGGCATCAGAGCAGGTCTGGGAGATGGGGTGTATATGGGATGTCGGGGAGTGGAGCATCAAATATGGAGGGAGCTGGCTATATGGGTTAGGAGTTCTAGAAAAACTTTAAACTAGATGTATGGATTTAGGGGACTCTCACGCAGAGGTGATATTCAAAGTGTTTAACAGCCACTATGGTTTGGGAAATGACCAGTCATAATATCCTCCCAAGGATATTAAAGTTTTCCCATTAACTTTTCTTTCTTTTTTTTTTAAGATTTTAATTTTAAGTATTCTCTATACCCAGTGTGGGGCGTAAACTTACAACCCGAGATCACAGTTGATCCAGCCAGCTGTCCCTTCCCATTAACTTTTCAATTCTCAGTTCTCGTATTCACAGAAAAGTGGCCCCGGTAGGTCCCCAGGGAAGGTCCCCATGTGCCTGACTGCCCAGTGCCTTATGCTGCAGTCAGCCTGCTCTGACATGGATGGCCTTCCATTTCTGCGTTTGTTTCTTTCTCTTTCTCCAGGGAGACTCTGGGGGCCCACTGGTCTGTAAATTTAAGGACACATGGGTCCAGGTGGGAATCGTGAGCTGGGGCATTGGCTGTGGTCGTGGAGATGTGCCTGGAGTTTATACAGATATCGCTTGCTATGCTGAGTGGATACTTGACGTGATTAACCAGGCTGCCTCTTTGTGTCCAGTGGTGTTCCTCATCCCACTTCTGTGCCTGCTGCTGCCCCTGGGCATCCTGGTGGCCCCGTGATCACCCCGGCCCTTCCCCCTCCTGTTTCTGGGTCTCGCACTGGGCCTCTCCTCCGACCTCCCCCTCCTACTTAGATGCCCTTTCCTCCAATCCTGCTTGGCGTCCACTGAGCCTGTAGAGAGCCCCACAGTAGAAAGTGGCAGCAAGGCTGGAGCCCCGAAAGTGTCCCAGCCTGCTGCTGTCCCGGTCACCTGCGTCGGCCACACCCACGACCTTGGCTGTGGCCTGCCTGCCCCGGAGGAGGGGGGCCAAGCATCCCAGCCTGAGAGCCAGCCGGCCTGCCAGGTGGAGCCCGGTGCTTCCTTGCCATCTTGGAGAGCCTGTACCAGAGAAGACACCTCATGAGCAGTGAGGCAGCCTTGGACCTGGCTGTGGTCTCAGGCTGTCACCTGAGACTGTGTTGAAGCGGGCAGCTTGCAGATTGTGCAGAGAGAGGGAGGAGGCGTCACCATGTCCCTGCTGAGGCGTGAGGCCTGGGCTTTCCACATCTGACCGGGCTGTCTGGGGCTGGGAGACATTTCCCCTGCCCCCGGCGCGGATCCAGCTGTGCGTGGCCAGCCTGTGGCACACAGGCCCCCTTCCTCAGTCCCTAGTGGCCCCATCCAGGCTCACCCGAGGTGTGCAGAGGCATTAAGGAGTGCGGAGATCTCAGGTGTCAACTGAATAAATGTTTGGATTGTCACTTGTGCGTTCTGTCTCTCTCCTGGTCTGGGGTGTGGGGGCACTGAGGAGAAGTTATCTCACATTTAACTTAGGAATGTGTTCATGATGCTTTTTAAACTCTAGAGTGAGAGGGGAGGCCCTCATCTACTCTGATACGAGTCCAACAGATGGTCTTAGCACTTGGGTCCCGCTGCTGTGCCCCTCACGGCCACCAGCATCTCCGCAGGGAGCTTCGTAGCTGAGTTTGCTGGCCATTGCATCTGGGGATGAGGACGTGAGAGAGAGTGGACGCAAGAGAGAGTTCAGGGCAGTGCCCGCGAACTGCAGCCCTTACTTTCTGCTTTGAGCACCAGATTGCCTTGGCCTGGCTCTGAAGAACACGGGGCTGAGGCTCGGGGAGAGGACAGGCTGAGCGCTCACCGTGTCTGTGCTGACTATTTCCCTCATTCTCTTGTGGTCCCAGAGTAGCTGTCTGTCACGATGCGGAGCATTTACCCCACTGCTCCCGATTTCCTTCCCTGTTCTTGAAACTTTGAGGTTACTTTCTTTTAGCAGGGGATTAGTGCCTTTTGCATGTGAGAAGAAAGAGCCTGGGAATATTTAGGTGAATAAAGAAGTGGACTGGGGTCAGGATCCATAACTGTCACCTCTGACACCATTCATCCCCTTCCTTCTGGATATATACCCAGTCAGAATAAAGACTGTATTTCCAAGTCCCATACATCTAAGTGTGGCACTAATTCTGGCCAATAAAATATAAACTGAAATGTTGGGTGTGAATTTGGGGAAATATCCTTAATGGAGGACAAGCTCTTCTTCAGATCTCTTTCTTCTTGCCTGGCTGGAATGTGTACATGGTGACCGGAGCTTGAGCACTGATCTTGGGACACAAGGAACATGCTAAAGGTATGGAGCAGGAATTTAGAAGGAACTTGGCTCCTTGGAATTTGTAGGGCCGCAATCATAGCTCTTCATGCAACAGAGGAAGAAACTCTTTTTAATTAAGCCATTGTCATCTTCTGTCTCAGTTACTTATAGAAAAACCTCATTCTAACCAATTCAGTGGGTATCATGGGGAGCTTTATTTCTGGATTGTTATATGAATATAAGTTTTTAAACTTTATTTAGACTAATTTTTATTTTTTTTAGGGAGGGGCGAGGGGCAGAGGGAGAGGGAGAGATAGAATATTAAGCAGATTCCCTGCTGAGTGCGGAGCCCAATGCTGGGTTCCATCTCAGGACCCTGAGATCATAACCTGAGCTGAAATTGAGAGTCGGACACTTAACCAACTGAGCTACCCAGGTGCCCCTAAACTAAATTCTTTTTAATTCCCACTTCACTATACACCATTGCTTCCTTTTCTATTCATTTTTAAAAATTGATGAGGTTAAAAGCTTATGTTGATGAATGACTGTTCTTTCTTAATGCATTTCTGTATTATTTTCTTTATTGGGGTGTAATTTATATATAGTAAAATGTACACATGGCAATATACAATTTTATGAGTTTTAACAGAGGTATACCCCATGTTGCCATCTCCAAATCATGATCGAAAATATTTGCATATCCTGGATTACCAGGATATTCTCTTATGTCCCTTTCTAATCATCCCCTCCCAGAAGTAACCACTATTCTGATTATTATCAGATTATTTGCATGTTATTGAACCTCATATTTTTTTTAAGAGAGGGAGGTGGGAGGGGCAGAGTGAGAGGGAGAGAGAGAATCTTCAGCAGGCTCCACACCTAGCAGGGAGCCTGATGTGGGACTCGATCTTCCAACCCTGAGATCATGACCTGAGTCAAAGGCAGACGCTTAACTGACTGAGCCACCCAGGCACCCCTAGTTCATTCCTTTTTATTAGTGAATAGTAATATTCTTACATGAATATTCCACAGTTGGTTTATTCTCCTGTTGATGGACATTTGGGTTGTTTGCAGTTTGGGGCTATTATGAACGAAGCTGCTAATAAGCATTCTAGTACAAGACTTTTTTGTATCTATATGCTTTCACTTCTTTGGGGAATAAACCTAGGAGCAGAACTGCTGGCTCATGAAATTGATATATGGTTAATGTTATTAGAAATTTCCAAAGAGTTTTCCAAATTATTTGTTTGTTTTTTTTTTTTAAGATTTTATTTATTTATTTGACAGAGAGAGACACAGCGAGAGAGGGAACACAAGTGGGGGTAGTGGGAGAGGGAGAAGCAGGCTTCCCGCTGAGCAGGGAGCCCGATGTGGGGCTCGAACCCAGGACCCTGGGATCATGACCTGAGCCAAAGGCAGACGCTTAACGACTGAGCCCCCCAGGAGCCCCCCAAATTATTTGTACCGTTTTATGCTATTCCCAGCAATAAGTGAGAGTTCCAGTTGATCCACATCCTCATCAGTCCTCACGCTTTTTTTTTGTGTGTGTGTGTCCAATTCTAATAGGTATGAAATGGTACTGCATTGGGGTTTTTATTTGTGTTTCCCTATAACTAATGATATTGAGCACCTTTTTATGTGCTATTGGTCGTATGCATATCCCTATGAAGTATGTTTTCAGTTCTTTTGCCCATCTTTAATTAGGATGCTTATTTTTTTATTGCTGACTTCTAAGAAGTCTTCTTATATTCTGAGTGGAATCCTAAGTCTGTGATTTTTTCACTTTTTAGCTGGGGGCTGTGAAACTTTTCTATTTTTTCTCCTAGAAGCTTTATGATTTTAGCTTTTACATTTAGGTCTATGGTCTATAAATTAATTTAGGAGCATGGTATGAGATATAAAGATGAAGTATATTTTTCTGTATCTTTAATGTTTATCCAGTTCCAGTACCATTTGTTGAAAATACATTTATTTTCACATTGATTTGCACTGGTACTTCATCAAAAATTGACAGCATATATGTGCATCTTTTTATGGATTCTCTATTTAGTTCCTTATCTATTTGTATATATATTTTTGTTTATCTATATATTCTTATGCCAACTTTACAGTGTCCTAGTTACTGTAGCTTTTATAATTAGTCTTGAAATTCAGTCATGTTACACCTCCCATTTTTTTCATGTTTTTCAAGGTGGAGTTTTGTGTAGAAACTGACAGGTTGATTCTTTTTTTTTTTTTAAGATTTTTAAAAAAAATTTATTTGACAGAGACACAGCGAGAGAGGGAACACAAGCAGGGGGAGTGGGAGAGGGAGAAGCAGGCTTCCTGCTGAGCAGGGAGCCTGATGCGGGGCTCGATCCCAGGACCCTGGGACCATGACCTGAGCTGAAGGCAGATGCTTAACGACTGAGCCACCCAGGTGCCCCTGACAGGTTGATTCTAAAATGTATACAGAAAAGCAAAGGATGTAGAGAACAACAGAAAGAACTCCTATACTTTAAGACTTACCATAAAAGTGTAGTAATCAAGGCAGTATGGTGTTGGCATAAGGGCAGACATATAGATCAGTGAAACAGGATAGAGAGTCCAGAAATAGATCCACACATATACGGCCAATTGGTTTCAACAAAGGTGCCAAGACAATTCAATGTAGGAAAGGATAGTCTTTTAAATAAACGATGCTGGAACAATGGGACATTCCTATGTAAAAACAAAACAAAACAAAAAAACCCCCGAATCTTAACTTTGCATTATATGTAAAAATTTACTTAAAAAGGATTATAGAACTAAATGTAAAACATACATCTAAGAAAACTTCTAGAAAAAGGCATAAAAGTCTGTGTGACCCTTGAGTTGGCAAAGATTCTTTATATAGGACACAAAAAGCATGAACTATACAAGAAAATAAATGATTGGGTTTCATCAAAATGAAAATATTCTGCTCCTTAAAAGACACTGTTAAGAAAGTGAAAATCAAAGCCACAGGCTGGAAGAAAATAGCAGAAATATCCACTCAGAGACTTATATATGAATGTGCATAGCATCTTTATTCATAGTAGCCAGAATCTGGAAACAACTCAAGTGTCTGCTAACTGATAAATGATAATCAATGAAAATACTACTTGGCGATAAAAAAAAGGATAAACTGCTGGTAGACACAAGAACATGGATGGAAATTCAAAAACATTATGTTGGCTGAAAGAAGCCAGATCCAAAGAGTACAGATTTCTGATTCCATTTATATGAAGCCCAAATAGGCACAATAGGTGATCAGTGGTTGCTTATGATGGATGTGAAGAGGGCACAACGGCATTTTCTGGGGTTTCAAAATGGTGTATAGCTTGACTGAAGTGGTGGTTACGTGGATCTATATATTTATTAAAACAGTAGATTGTGCACTTAAGGTCTATTTAACCGTATGCAAATTTTTCCTAGTTAAAAAGAAACAGGTTAATGTGACATATTCTAGT